GTCTTGCTGCCCAGGCGGGTCTCGAACCCACGGGCTCAGGCAATCCACTCACCTCAGCCTTTCAAAGGCACGGGATTACAGGCTAAACCACCAAGCCCGGCTTATTAACCCAATTTCAGTGTTAAGTTGGCTTACTGTAAATCTGCTAAAAATCATTTTAATTATTAGTAAAATGACTTAGCTGTCACGGTCTCAGTATAAATAAACATAAAATATGTAATGTTCTTATATTTGAATATAAGTTCTTATATTGGAATATAAGTATGACTGCTCCAAAATTTGATTAATTTTTAAGAGCCAACTGAAAGCAAAATTATACATTACCAACCTTGGCTGTTTTTAATTTCTGCTTCATAATGTGCTTTTGACATATTAAGTCCCATATGGAGTGGCTTTAAGAAATTATTCCCAATCTTTCCAAGTTCTGTCCATAATCCAGTCTGTTCAGAATTAATGAAAGAATAAGTTATTTGGTTCAACATGTATTGATTACCTACTACTAAGTGTGTTAAGAGATAGAAAAGCAAAAAGGAATGAAACATGGTTCTTGCTTTTCACAATGGAGTTTACTGTTTAAATAATACATTTATTATAAAATCTAGTAATGTGATACCAATGTAAAGAAATGTACTTAGAACACTACACTTATTACTGCACCATCTGGATACCTCCTGATTTTGAGATGTGTAATGTGCAAGTTTTATCCATGAGAAAAATTATTCACACAGGCTGAGACATTTCTCTTCCCCCATAAGCCATCCCCACCATGACCCTACCTTGTATATGCCTTTAACATATGACATTTCAGTTTGATAGTCTTGCCACAGATCTAGAAGATTCTTTCCCTTCCCTATTGATGGAAACTTTTCTAACACATTTGACTTCCTTGGTGACCAACTTAGATGATTCTGTCTGCTGAAGACAGCTTGGGGTTATTTTGTCATGTATCTTAGAGGTTTATATTCCAAGAGCATTTTTCTTTTTTTTTTTGAGTTGGGGTCTCACTCTGTTTCTCAGGCTGGAGTGCAGTGGCACGCTCATGGCCACCGCAGCCTCGACCTGCTGGGCTCAGGCGATCCTTCCCACTCCAGCCTTCTAAGTAGCTGAACTGCAGGCGTGCGCTACCATGTCTGGCTAATTTTTTTATTTATTGTAGAGACGAGGTCTCACCAAAGTGCCCAGGCTAGTAGTCTTGAACCCATAGGCTCAGGCAATCCTCTTGCCTCTGCCTCCCCAACGTGCTGCCATTCAGTCTGAGCCACCACGCCCAGTCAGCATTTTCTCTTACAGTACTAAAGGAGGGGAGTCATGGAGTCTTGTATTTTTTAAAAAAGAAAGAAGAGTTCAGGCACAGTGGCTCATGCCTGTAATCTCAGCACTTTGTGAAGCCAAGGTTGGAGGATCACCTGAGACCAAGAACCTGGGCAACAAAGCAAGACCCCGTCTCTACAAAAAAGTGAAAAAATTAGCCAGATGAGGTGGCATGCAACTACAGTCCTGGCTACTTGGAAGGCTGAGGTGAGAAGATCACTTGAGCCCTGGAGTTGGAGACTCCAATGAGCTATGTTAAGATGGCACCACTGCAAGCCAGCCTTGGCAACAGAACAAGACCCTGTCTCAACAAGGAAAAAAAAAAAATCCATTGGTATTATTGTGTTTCTAAGTACTCTTTATAAAGGAAAATATCTTAGGTAAAAAAGGAAAATGCAGGAACCCAGTTAACCAGAGCAATGAAATGGACCACTGGAAAACCTATTTTGTAATGGACTTATTTTGATTCGCTTACAGCCCCAAATAAAACCTATACATATCTACGTTGAATAACTGGTAACATTAATGACTTTCACACACATCTCCTTTTCATATCTATTGTCCTTTCTCATTTCTTCTATTCTGAAAAGAAAAATTGAATTCTAGGGAGGATCTAAACATCTAAAAAATATGCATACCTTTTCACTCAGCATCTGTGAACTTATCTAAGTATGTATGTTGTAATGATTCTATTACAAATGTTCTTTAAAATGTTTAGTGAAAAACTGGGATTAATGAAAATATTTCACAACAGATTCAACAAGTGAACTGTATATTAACAATCTACAGATTAAGACACATTCAAACATAAAAGTAATAGAGAAAACAACTTTTTATTCACACCTAGCTTTGTCTAAAGGAAACACTTAATTTACTTTTTAAAAAGTACCACATACTTATTCAAGAAGCAGGCATTGTCTAAAGCCTGAGTGTTTAGCATTCCTAATGAACGTTATCACTTTTTTTTTTTGAGTCGGAGTCTTATGTTTTTGAGTTATTTGTGTTGTAGCTCTAATTCTTTCATTTTAATTGGTGTAGACATCCCATTATACAGGCTATCCTGTTACCAGTTTTTTGGTATTTCAAAATAATGCAGCACTGAAATATGCTTAGCTATTCACATGGGGTGAAAGCTGTGTAGGGTATTGTTTATCAAATGACCTTTACCATGGTTCACAGTAAGGAATATGATTCACATCACAATTCCAAGCACATTTATTTATATAGTTGAAATGTTTTCCCCAAAATCCTTTCTATATACAACAGATATTTTATTAATATTTAAATATAACGTAGAAAAATCCTAAAATAAGCAATTCAAATATAAACGTTAAGAGATTTTATGCACTAAGTGGATGTGCTTGCCTGCTCATGGGGTAATCCCAGTTTAATGTGATATGGAGCCTGGTTCTTTTTATTATTTTTCAAAGTGAGGCTTATCATTTATATACAGGAAATACACTCTTTTTAGCTGTACAGTCAGAGTTTTGACAAAGATACACACTCATGTAACCACAGCCACTGTAAAGATACTTCCATGACCTCAGAAGTTTCCTTGTGTCCCTTTGTAGCCCGTCCCCCCCCACCAACTCAGCAACCACTGATCTTTATGTAATTTTTGCTTTTCCTAGAAAGTCATATACATGGAATTATAAATGTAACCCTTTGTGGTAGAAGCTGACAAGATTCTAAAATTTATATAGGGCTATCCTGGCCAACAGCAAAACCCTGCCCCCCCCCTAAAAAAAATACTGTATATGAAAAAGTAAAGAACCTAAAATAGCCAAAACAATCTTGGAAAAATAAGAATAAAGTTGGCAGACTCATTACTCGAGTTTAACACCATAAAACTACAGTAATCAAAACAGTGTGGTATTGGTAAAAGAGTAGACATAGGTCAATAGAACAGAATAGAGTCCAAAAATAGACCTAGACTCTTAAGATCAATTGCTTTTTGATAAAGTTGCCAAGCTAATCCAACAAACTAAGGATAACTTTTTCAACAGATAGCACGGGGTCAAAGGAAAAAAAATCTCTCAACCCCTATTTCACACTATACAAAAAATTTACTTGAAATGGATAATTGACATAAATGTAAAACCTAAAACTAGATAACTTCTACAAGAAAACCTAGAAGATTATCTTTGAGATCTGAGTTAGCAAATACTTCTTAGACAAGACCCAAAAAGCATTAATCATAAAAGAATAAAATTGATAAGTTGGACTTCATACATATTAAAATTTCCACTCTTTGAATAATACCATTAGAATAATGACGATACTAGTCACAGATTGGAAGAAAATATTTGCAAAAACATAACCTGATAAAGAACTTGTATCCAAAGTACAGGAAAGATTTTCCTTTTATAAAAGTTGTACTCAGTTGAAGATTTTTTTTCTTTCACACTTTCAGTTTTACTTAATAACGGACTTTCTCCTAAATCTCTTTTCCAGAATGATCAAGTTTCATATTCATTCACTGGTATAAATGTAGAACTAAACTTCACTAGTTAATTCTCTTTGGCTAACATGTTTAACCTAAATTACTGAGTCAGGATTTTAAAAAACAAATATAAGTTTTTATCGAACATTTTCCTTTACTGCTTAAACTTTCTCCTTTGGAATGTAAGTAATTACATAATCATTAAAAGTGTTACAAAATTAGACCTCTCATCAAGAAGCATCATAACCTTTGCATCTAGATGTTTTCCAGTAATGGTTTTAACAAAACATTGTGCTACAATTAAAACATACTAAAAAAATAATGCAATAGATTTATCAAACACTGCATGCATATCCATATGTGCTGGGAAAGTAATTTGTCCAGCTCCTTGTAAGCCATATTCTCTTTTGCCAAATGATAACACAATCATATACACGGATAATAAGGGTGTTTTTTTTTTTAATTAGCTTATGGAAAGACTAAAAAATACGTTGGAAACTTTTCATCTTTAAAAATATTAGGGGGCCTTTTCCACAAGTTGCGTATGTTGTTTCTAGATACCTTTAATTTCTAAAGTTTTAAACTTTCACTCAGAAGAAAACTAACAACATAGTAGAGTCTATCATTTTCACTGTATTTGCTTTTTTAAAAATTTAAGTCAGGGTTTCACTGTGTTGCCCAGACTGGAGCACAGTGGCATGATCATGGCTCACCCCAGCCTCCAACTCCTGGGCTGAAGTGATCCTACTTTACCAGCTTCCCAAGTAGCTGGGACTACAAGTGTGTGCCACCACAGTGGGCTAATTTTTAAAACTTTTTTTGAGCTGGGCTCAGTGGCTCAGCCTGTAATCCCACACTTTGGGAGGCTGAGGTGAGTGGACTGCCTGAGCCCACAGGTTCGAGACCTGCCTGGGCAACGTGGTGAGACCTCATCTCTACAATAAATCAAAAAATTAACCGAGCGAGGTGGTGCGCACCTGTAATTCTGGCTACTCGGAAGGCTGAGGCGGAAGGATCGCCAGAGCCCAGCAGGTCGAGGCTGCGGTGGCCGGGAGCAGCCACTGCACTCCAGTCTGAGCGACAGAGTGAGACTCCAACTCAAAAAAATAAAAATTAGGCCGAGGTGAGTGGGCTGCCTGAGCCCGTGGGTTCGAGACCCGCCTGGGCAGGCAAGACCTCATCTCTACAATAAAAATCAAAAAATTAGCCAGGCGTGGTAGCGAACGCCTGTAATTCTGGCTACTTGGAAGGCTGAGGCGGAAGGATCGCCGGAGCCCAGCAGGTCGAGGCTGCGTTGGCCGGGAGCAGCCACTGCACTCCAGTCTGGGCGACAGAGTGAGACTCCCAACTCAAAAAAAAAACCAAAATTTTTTTTTTGAAGAGACAAGGTCTTGCTATGTTGCTCAGGCTGGTCTTGAACTCCTGGGCTCAAGCAATCCTCCCACCTCCACCTCCCAAAGTTCTGGGATTTACAGGCATGAGCTACTATACCCAGCTGTGTTTTTACTTTTGATAAAACTATTTTAAATAATCGTAACTTTAAAATCTCACAGTTGTCCTCTTTCTTTTTTAGAATGTGGCATCAGTGAAGTCAAAGTATGCTAATTGTAGAGATAATATTCTACACATGTTGTCACTATTTATAGTTCCAGATACAGCAGTTCAACTTGAACATGCTTCTGTATG